TGACTTTTCCAACTGACGTGGAGGCTGTTACGGCTGCTGTAGCGACTAAGCTCGCATTTAATGACGACACATCCTTCATTTTCTCGTATGTTTTTTCCGCAATAACACCCAGTTCTAGCATGGGACGTTTAACATGCTTCATCACATCTTTTAGTTCGGCACTCATCATTTTTATCTCCTTGTGGGCGTTCTTCGTTGTTGAGGTGAACGCGAAAAGTCTGGTGACTAACGCGTCCACCTTTTTAATGTTGTCATCTAAGTCTCCCCATGTTTCGGACATCCAACCACTGAGGGTTATGTCATCTAAGTCCATCATATCCTTTTCCAAATCTTCTATTATTTTCGTATCTTCATAATCATCATTTCCTAGTTTCCGGTTTCCGTCTGCTGATGCCTGATGGACGGCCCTCCCCCCGAATCCGTGAGGGCCTGTGACAGGGRTAGAATTTCCAWKTACGTTTTGATCCATCTTTGGTTTTTGTGAGTGGCCTTCTCGTTGTGGTTTGCTGTTTTCCTTCAGGGTCCGTTTGCTAGTGGTAGCAGGTGGTTACCGTACCTGCCGCCCTCAACCAGTTAAGGTCAAGAGCGGCTCTAGAGGCTCCGGCACCAACTAATTAAAGTCAGTGCCGGGGAGTTGGGTACCTCTTGGCACCGACCGGAGTCGGTGAGCCCCCCCACCACGTCAAGGTGGGTCCCGTCGGGGGGGAAATGTTGAGCACCTGCAATGGGCTAACCTAACCTAACCTCAGGGCATCGGGGCCAGAGGCCCTCGGGCCTCGGCCTAGCGCTGAAAGTTCCTTCCTACATGGCTACATAAATCACGGATAATAGATATAATGTCTATTATCCGTGTACATAAATAACATAAAAAGGCATTATTTTTAGTTATTAATTTTTTCTAAAAACCACTTTGACCAATGTTTATTTTTTCCGATTGGTAAAAATTGAACATTGGAAAAATTAAAATGTGGAAAAAGTGGTAGATAACTTTGGATAATATAGTAGTTTTTGGGAATAAAAAAAAAATTAAAATATTTAATCATGGAAAAACGTTCTTTTGGCAATGAAGTACAATGGTAAAACTGGTAATAACGTTGCTGGATAAAATGGTTTTTGATAGTACATGCACAGAATATATTCTGTGGTGCATGCATATTGCATATACGTCCTATTATACTATGCAATATGCATAGACCTATTATACTAGTATAATAGGTCTATGAGTACATGACGTAATGTTCATTTTGTCCATAGTTTACTATTTCCATGGAAAATATGTATAATGGATAATTTAGTAAATGGTAAAACTGGTAGCAACCCTTTAATAAGTACCTAACTGTCGAAACTAATTGTTGTATAAAGTTTAAATAAATAAAAAAGAGATAGTAAGCTAGTATAGTTTTATATACTTGTCTATGCTAGTAACCTGTAACCATTTTTTTGTATAGTAAGTGTGATGTCGATGTGTATACTGTATCTCATCATCGAGTAAGTCATTATAACCACTGTATAGTGTATATTATGTTAAATTTGAATTCAATGATAAATGTTCTGTAAGCCCATATGACAGAGGACAGAGGCGTTTAAGTATATTTTACGATATAATTAAGTTGATATTAAAGTTATTTATTTTATTAGTATCTACTGCCTACTTTATACACTATGCATAGGGTTGCCAGATTTTAAAAACACCAAACTTGGACATCAATATGAATAACCTTTTTTTTTCGTATAATTTGTTTATTATTATGTTCAATTGTAATTGTTGAGGTATCATAGTTTAATACTAGAAGCTAATAAAAATAGTAAAAACCTTTTTTTGTATAATTATATGGGAATTAATAATATCCCATATTTTAGTTGAAAAATGTATTAATCAATATATTTTTTTACACAAACTACATTTACTGCATTTACATTTATTAACAATTGTTGGTAATAACCTAATGTTCATACTTTTTGGTTGAATGAATTGTTTTCCATACAGCTGTATTACTTTTAATTTTTCAATAAAATTCATTACAAATTAMACCCGAGTTCTATGTATAATACTATTCTATGTTCTATTATTAAACAAAATAATATTAAAGTTATTTTCTCTTGTCTTTCATAAATCGGGACAAAATGAATGACCGGCCGGGACATGCTGTTAAAACTAAGACTGTCACGGTCAAACCGAAATGAATGACAAGCCTTATTATACAGTTCCTAGGTTAAATCAATTTTTGCTGATAAATAAATCATTTGAAAATACAAAAAAAAATAAAATTAATATTCTTCGTTTAAGTATCTTATATTATCCAAATTTAACTTTATAAATTTCTTTAAAAAATTGTGTCAATAAGTAATTTTTTATAGATTTTTAGATTATTGCTTATGAGGAACTTTTTTAGCTTTTTGACCAAGCGAAATCGACATTTATAGGAAAAAAAAAATTAAAAAATCAATATTTATTTTATAAGTAACAATATATAGTGCTCCTGCGAGAATTTACTCAGTGCGATATCTACTGAGATACTAAATTTATTATAAATCTGTTTTTTTTATCAGATTCACATAGACAAGGGCTAGATGGATTTTATTTTTTAATTAAATTAAATTTTTTGATAAAAAAAAAGTTAAAAAATTTATATTTTTTATTTTTGAAAAAAGAAAGACATGTATTTTATAGCGTTTATTTTTCTGAAAATGTTGACCTTTCAACATTTTATTTTCATAGATCACAAGATTTTTAATAATTTTTTTAGTTTACTAATAAAACRACAAAAAACTGGTTTTTATCAGAGTGCCGAGTCCCCCTCAACAGCTAATGGGTATATCCTTACGGGACACCCTGTATATATGTAGAGCTCAAGTGTCAATATATTTTGAAAATGTCAAGTGAATATAATTATCTGTTCATGATTTTGTTAAATACAGGTTTTGCAAAACATTATAGTTTTTCCAACTTATTCAAAAAGTGCTAAGTATTTAAAATATTAAATCTTTCAAAGTTCCAACCAGATCCAATTTGCTATCAGATAATATCCCAAAATGTCGATGATTGACACAAAATAAAACATACATAATTGTAAAATCTGAGGTAAAATCAATACTTTCATAGGTTCACTCAGAATCAAAATATTACAACTAAAGCTATAGAATAGATTGAAAACAAATATATTATGTCCCATCAATTAATAATAAAAGTTGATTGTAATACACGTGACAACGCCTATGCTTTAAAATTTTTAAACAAACACAACTTCAATATATATATATTAGAGTAACCCCATGTAGGCATATTAAATTAAATTTGTTACTATTATAAAATATAAATGAACTTCTTCATAAAAATAAAAATAAACTACCATTACAAATAAATAAAAATACCAATATAATTCTTTAATAATTTTTTATGTATTTTCAAAATATAAAAACAACATAATAATTAACAATATGTAAAAAAAAATGTAATTATAAGTTATGACTATATAAAAAAAGAAATATTTGTATATACATTGTACAGAAATAGTCATACTTAAATCAACCATATAAAGTATCTAATCAGTCTAAAATAAATCAAAATTATGATTAGTTTTTAATACTTAGAAAAAGTATAACAACTTCAACCTAAAAATTATTGGCAGTTAAAAAGTGTTATACTAAAACAAAATACTAAAATTTTCCATAAAATCTACTTCGGTTTGTGATGATAAGTTTGTTCTGAAAAAAAAAAGAAAAGATATATTATTAATTAAATTAACATAAAAATAATTATATTTCATAATGCTGATAAAATAATATATCAGATATTTGCAAACAATATTACGGAAACATTATATAGTTTATATCTATCTCATAGTAATAAATAATTTAAAAGCTAACTTTAACTGTTAAAAGTAACACTGAATTTAATCAGTGTTGGCATAGGTTGGCACTCATTTTTGGTCATGAAAGTGTAAATAGGTTTTTGGTTAAGTATATGATGTTAAAAAACAAAAATCGAAATTTAATTATAAACAAAATACCAAAATTTGGCGTCAATAACATTGATTTTA